CTGCTTGTATTAAGCCATCTCTCTGCCTATCAGAATGACAGTGACACAGTTTTAAACAGTTGTTGCTACTATGTTTTCAACTACCCACTAATACATATCATGTTTTGTTGACATAGGAAAAAGTGTGTATCTTGAAATACAAAGGTCATGATCCCCCAAACAGTCACAGGTCATTTTGCCATTGACAAGAATAGTAAATGTCATGAAGCTGCTTTTGTACTCTGAAAGAGAACAACAGGTAGCAAGGTGAAAATAAGCAAAGTTTGTGATCTTTTAGCTGAGGAACTGCTCTTTGAGAGCCTCACTCGCTCTTTGCAGACGTTCCCCAGGGTGACTGGAGCGGGGAGAGCTTTGGCACCTTGTCATACAGCCACTGCAAGTGAAAATACGGTATCACCATTCAATAATATCAGTATCAGTGACAGACAGGGGGCTCTCTCAGTCTGCCGAATTAACTTGAATGATGAAAAAGAAAAACCCAAATGGAATTGCTACGTGTTTCTGAAAGAGTACAGGTATACTCCCGAGAACTAACGATACTCACATCTTCTTGCAGTCAGCATCAAAAGCTCTTGCCTCTTTAGGACTAAAAGCACTGCAAGGATAATTTTCAGTTCCTTGACACTTATCAGAAATCTTTTGAGATGGATATTCTCTAGAGCGAGCATCGCAGAGATGATCTCGTTCCTTACCATACAGTTTCTCTCTCTGTTTTCCTTGTGATGTTTGTAACTTGATTTCACCTTGGAAGACCCCCGTTTTCTCACCATGGTGTGTCAGCACAGTATGGATAGGAACTAAGGATTCTGTTGCTTCTATTCGCAGGGCAATGCAGCCTTCCCCTAGAGGATGACAAGGAGACAATGTGCCTGGGACTGAGAAAAAAAGCATTGAAATCTCTTTCTCATGTCAGTCATCTACTACCACTGTGCCAGCTGGGCTGAGATGACTAGAGAGAATCTGCTTTGGATCACAGTGAGGAGTGTAATATCTCTTGAGAAATCAGGTGCATTCATTTCAGTTCTTCACATATATGTGAAGGATCTGGGCACTGGAGACACCCACAGGTGACTACAGGGTTCTGAGCTTCCATTACTGGTAAGGAAAACATAATAAGCCTGTGACTGCCATTTCAGTTAATGGGATTTTGGCAAAGAGCTTTCTGTGGACAAGGACTGCAGTCTCTGGCTGGTTAGAATTTGGAGCAAGCAGCACTGACAATGACTTTTCTGTAGCCAGGAGAAATGCATCAAGTAAGTGCAAGTGAACAGGATTTGTATGTTCTGAATAAACCCATTTAAACAGACTGACTCCTGATTTAATACCTGTAAAGTACTTTCTTTTTAAGCCACTGCTTTTTAGGACTGGTAAAGCTTATACAGATTGTTGCTTCTAGTTCATATTCCTCTAATCATCATTACCTCACAAAATATTTCCCACAACTTATTTTTGTATGTTTTGAGTTCTAAATCAGAAGTCAGAGCATCATAGATGTTCAGTCTGTAAGAGTTACTTCTGTTCTCTCCCACTCTTTCAGCGGTTTGGAAAAATCTAAGTAGATTTTGACTCGTCCAGAACTTTAGAGCATAAAAAGTCTTCACTTACCATAAGATTCATCACTGTCTGATGACTTAATGCTGATCAGGATGTGTTGATCCAGTAGGTATTCTGGGTCTGAAATAATTGGAGTCAGCTGCAAAGACAAGTGGGTCAATACAATAGGTGGTCTACATGAACACAGTTCTCCCTGTGCCTCAGTCCCAAATGAGCAAAACTCAGCTGAATAGACCCATGAGGGTATCGTGTCACTCCAGGATCAGCCTCTGATGATGTTTGGAGATCTGTGGTAGAAGGCTACACACTTTTAGAGTCCCCCCACTCCTGCTCCCAGCAGAGCAGACAGAATGCTACATATCAAACACATTGGGCTGAGCTGCATTTTTTTCCTACAGTGCAGACTGAAAATTGCTCTAGGAGGAAGTGATCTGGACTCTGATTACAGTCTGTTCCCAAAAATCTGTTTGGCTGTTGTTACAATCACTTATTGTAGAGTCTTGCCCCAGTCTCTCAGTGTAAGGCACTCTTTCCAAAGTCAGCAGTTCTTCTTTTGGGCTATTCAGAAGGGTACTGACATGCATATTTGCGCCAAATCCAAGAGCTCTGATAGTTCTTCCAGCTCCCACCACGCCAAGAAATGGAGAACAGCTCTGTTCTCAAGAATAGGACTTGTCTCTGACATTGACACACAGAACACTACTTCTGGCCATTGATGGTCTTTTTAATACAGGTAAAAAAAACTTAGTCAACTTTTCTCAAAAATACCAAGAAAAATAACTTTGCCTCACACGGCAAAGAAACTCCAGGACAGCTGTTTTATCTTCCATCTAAAACAAACAAACAAAAGGGCCTGCTTAAAAGACTTGTCAGCATAGTTATGTTCACTAAAAAGGTGAGAAAAGAGTCATGCTCCTGAGTGACATAACCAGGCCAGCAAAATTCCTGATACAGATGAAAGTATATGGACAAGAAAGTATTTTCCTGCTTATAACATACTCTGTTTAGCTTAAGCCCATCCTGCATTCTTAAATTCCCTTTTGAGTGTAAACAAGACCACAACCATGTTCCTAAAAGTAATGTTGATATATGCAAACGATGTAATGCTGCTTATGGGATGCAAGTGGAAGGCTTCTCTTCCATATGGATATGGAAACATAGTCCCAGTTTACCTTTGGAAGAGCATCAGCGAACTTTACCACAAGCTCCCCTTCATTCCCATCCTCATTTTCTCCTTCCTGGCTCTTTACAAAACCTGCAAAGTGATGAGAAAGAGTTCGCTAGAAGAGAGACAGCAAGAACTTGGCTACAAATCCTTTTCAGATGCTAGATCTCCAAAAGGCCTACAATTATTTTCCCACTTGGGTGCAAATTTTAGAAGTATTAAGAAGCTTAAAGTCTGAGCTTTGGGTGAATGTTTACAGAGTAAATTTACAAGTGATTTTACTGGAGTATTGTTAAATGGTTTTATTTTACAGTGAAACTTGGCACTGAAAAGTTCAGTGCATACATGGACTGGAGGATAAGAACATGACAGCTCTTCCTACGCCACTCAAGATAGCACACTTTTGAAATTCTAATTTAAGATTCGTAATACACTGTTTCCATAGAAATTTATGCAAATTTTGATACAGCCAAAAAATAATCTTTTATGGAACTGTCTTTGACACAGTGCTCTGACATGCGATAATGTGATGAAGCATACACCGAAGGCATGCTGTCCCACTTACAGGAGCAGTCCTGTGATGGGGAATCGCTTAAAAAAAAAAAACACAGCAAGGACATGTAGGCTTGCATTACATAAACAGCTGAGACTCAGCCCTGCAGCTCAGGGCCAGGGAGTAAAATCTGCAGCACTGGTGGGTACACAGTCCCATTTACAGAATCAAATCACTATCTTTCCTTTCACTTTGAGCTGATCCTCTGACTTATTCTTTTTTAAACCAGGGTAATTAAATTATTTTTATTAGCATAATGCAGATGCTTTATTTTGAAAGCACCTGATCATTTGTAGCAGGCTTGATCTGAAATTTAATCAATCATGTGTTTGCTAAGTAGAGATTTTCTGTGTGATGAGCAAGAAAAACACGTGTTTCTATTCAAGAAAGAGATGATCAGATTGCCAAACAAGATGGAAGAAATGGTGGAAGGCTACATGTGTAAGCATAGATTACAGCTAAATGGCTGTGGGTTTTGGATTGTATTGCTGACAGTATAGGATGACTTGTAAACTACAACAAATCTCTAGGACATCCCTTTTTTGCACTGGAACAAGTGATCCACACAACTATTCATTTAGATCAAAGCAAGAGGAAGGGGAACTAATCCAAACAAGCAGGAAACTTTGACAGAAAGAATAAAGATGGGCAAACCCATACTTTCTAAGCAGCTAGAGTGAAACTCGATGTAGAACTTGGTCTGGGACTTGGTCTTCAGAGTAGCGTAGCAGTGCAGGAGCTCTATCTCCCCTTGGGAATCTGTGTACTTGGAGTCTAGGAAAGAGGAAGGGAAAATAATGGCATTTTCAGTAGGAGATAAAGAGAGGGCATTTTTGAGTGGACTCTTTAAGAAGCAGCTTTTTCTTTCAACTTATACAAAGCACTGCATTTTATATCCAAAGGTGAAGTCAGCACACTTGCACCCAGCCTGACTAACCATTCTTTGAAACAAACTGTGACGTGACTCCCACTTCAAAGGTGGCAAAGACAGGACTGTGGTCACTTGTCATGATGTCAGTGGTGCAGCCTGCCAACGAGAAAAGGAGGATAGTTACTGCCCTGCATTTCTGCTGTGCTCCAGTGAGATCGCTACGATAGAAATATTATTCAGTAATTTTCCACAAAACATAACTGTCACTGTGGTAACTGTCTCTAGTCAAAGGTGTTTCTACATAATCTCATATTAGTATATAGGAATGTAACTCTTTTGTCAAAATACATGAAGATTTGGTTAATGGACACAACTTTACCATATAATTTTGCAAGCAACTGTCAGTGTTAGATTCCTCCACTACAAAAAGCACTTGCAGGCGTCCTGGTTGCCTCTGCAACATGCACAGCTAATCAAAGCTCTAATATGGCAGGAAATCACACAAGAATACACTGGTGCTACTTCAATGCTACAGAGCAACTCGTGGCCCAGGATTAACAGTGAGTGAACAAGGTCTTGACTTGACCTGAGCACACACCCAAGTTCCAGCAAGCCCAGTCCATTGAACAGAACAGTGTATAAAAGCAGATGCTGGACTTTCTGAAGTGCTTATTTGACCATACACCTCATCATCATAGGTTCTGTGATCAGACCAGTCCACCTTATTCCCAAGAGACTCCTACAGCCCTCTTCTCAATCTCATGCATAGGAAACCATCAACATCATACTCAGATGCTTGGTCCTACATGTAGTCGATGAAATCTCAGGAACTAGTATCTGTGTCTTTCTCTGAACAGGCCTTGTGGGCTTCCTCTCTTCCCTGCATTGCACTTTTGTGATGTTTCTCAGCAAGAAAGAGAATAGGCTCTTGGTACCACACAGTCCTGCTGGAATGTGATTTGACAGAAGGGAGATGTTTGCAGGTCCAGTCTCTGCAGACTGGACTGTGTACACAGGGTCTACCCTGCTGGCACCATCAAGTAAGGAGCTCCTGGTGGTAACTGCACACGAAAAGTGGTTGTTGTTGCCAAGAAATAACTGGTGTAAAGTGACCCTACAGTGTGACCTAAAGGTGGACAGCTGCAGCTGTCTGAGTGTTATTCTGCATACAAAAGAATGACAGAATTAATTTCCAAGCTTGTAAGGTTACAGGCAGAGAGATTTGGCTCCACTCTGCCTCTTTTAACATCAGGTCCCTCTATGCTGAGTGCCTCGCAGTGCTAGGAGATCCTACAGACTCTGCTCTGAATCATTTCCGTTTCAGACTGATTGCTTTGCTATCTACAATATGTTATCTACCCACCATAGGACTGACACACAACGTGCACCATGGGGTATGATTTCCAGAGCACTCGATCACACCAGGATGGCAAATTGTACTTCATCTGCAAACCAAAGGAGAAGTGATGTCAAGAAGAAGAGAAAAGACCAGTTCACAAAAGAACAGGAAATTCACTTGCCCAAGCACCATATATTTGTGTCAAATCTTTTTGTTTGTATTGACTCCTTTCAAAACACTACAAGGGCAGAAAATGCAGAGATCGTTTTAGATCACTTCTGTAGGAGTTACTTTCTCTATTCTGCCATACACTTCTGAAGGGAAACCAGTTTTCACCTACCCCTGTAGCTTTTTGCTTGGTGTAAGCATACTTCTCTCGGGTACCCCTTTCAAAACGGTATGTCGGAGCAAAGGTAATCTCTTCTTCCTCTAAAACAGAGAGAGAGCTCCGTTACAGTTTGGCCCATTGAGAACCCTCATCTGGGAAAGACAGCCACTGCTCTGTACACCCTGCCCCACATTGAGTCTGGCAGAGAAAGTTGCTGGAAACAGGAGAGGAACCTGCCAACAAACTCAGAATCTTACCAAACTGCAGAAACACCTTTTGGTCCTTTCTCTCTATGAGAAGCTGGTCGAAAGCCAGCAGCTCTGGATACTGCTGCTGCCTGATCTTCTGGATAATATTCTCTGCTTCCTGCCAACAGGGAAACAGCAGAGCTGCAGATGATGCAAAACCTTCTCATAAATACACCCTTTATCAGTGAGCCAGCAAGTGCTTCTGAACTGTTTCACAGAGCCGTACCCCCTGCCACTTCCCCACCCTTCCCTTCCCCAGTCTTTGCTGCATGGCTGAATATTTACCTATTGAAACAGGCATCAAAATGACCACTCATCCCCTACACAAGCATACAGACACACACACAACCAGATGCACGTCAACACCAGACTTGCTGTTGTCTCCAGCCTACTGAAACCTATCCAGTATTTATTACTTGCCTGTTTCTGAAGGCCTGTTCTGAGCCATTAAAAGCTAACCAATTAGAGCAGAAAGGCAATCTCTGGATCAAGCTGTTCAGGGACAGATGCTTGCTCACAGAGGGAAGGAGAGTTGGGAGGTTTGAGGAAGTGATGCTGCCTGGAGCAGCCAGGTGTGCCAGATGGCATTCCTGGGTCCATTAATCCTTGGAGAGGGCAAAGGGGATTTCCTTACTCTCCCTCAACTGGTGTCACACTTGTGCCCTGGGGATCCCTTCTGCCTCCCCTCTTTCTGCCACTCCTTCTGCCACATTGCCCTTGATTAGAAAAAGATAGCACTTCTATAGCAACACAGTATTTTGTCTTTCCAGGGATTCATGCAGAGTCCCTAACCGTTGGGGGCTGTTCCACGCGGTAGTTCAAGTCTCCCAGCCAGAAAAGATGAGTAAAGCGATGAGTGATGTTAAACGGACTCAGTTTCTTATCTCCCAGTGTCAGGAAGCGCAGGATGTTCATGTAGTTCTGGTTGCGTCTGTCAAGACAAAAAACATCTGCCTGACCTACTAAATAGCCATGCAATTTCTAAATGCCTGGGCTGGCAGAGACTGCTGCTTTACCAGGCAGGAACCGATCTGGCCCAACATCTAGAGAAGAGCAGATTCAGAAGCCGAGAACTTGCCACCCCTGCCTCGCACTGCACCTCAGCAGACAGGCCCAGGTGATATGCTCAGTGTTTCCCAGTGAGCCAACCTACTTCATGCAACCAGTAACGCAGTGCAGCTCTCATGCTGCAGCTTGTCTTGTGTGTGGTCCGGGGAGCTGAGGGGCAGCTTGCTGTGAGGAGGGGGCAGCAGCATTTACAGCAGCTCCGGGCTGCTCTACCTTGGGTGTCAGACTGTTTCCACCTGAATTGAAAGCCTGGAAAGCTGTCCTAAAGACACTTTTGTTGCCTCCTGGGGCTGTGCTTTTCTGAGCTGCATGCCCTAGAAACCCAGCATTAGATTGTTGCCTTCAGATTTCAGCAGCAAACACATAACTAGACTTTGGCAGCTATTCCAGGCCCTGGGGAACCCTTCCATAGAAGTTAACTCCATCAGTGACAAAGACCTTGTGCAGAAATCCCACACCATCTGTTTTCTGGGTCCTGGACTGGGAAAGATGGCAAAGCCAACCTCTTCATTTCAAGTCCTCTTTGCTTTCAAAACCACTCCTTCCAACTGCTCCAGCTCCTCCCAGTGTGAGTGCAGATCTCCCACTGGTGTCAGGATCTTTTGCCTTCCAGTCCTGTCCTGCACAGAACCTGCCTAGACCATGGAAACTCACTTCACAGCTGGGTATAGAGAATTAGCCACCGTGGAGATATTTCTGTGCTACACACCTCGCTCTTGGTATTCCTGACAGCATGCTCTGCCTAGCAGGATCTTTCTCAGCTGTGCCCCAGGGCACACCACAGCTCCCATGCTTGCAGCACTGCTTACAGTGAGAAGGCATACAGACCCCTTCAGCACATTATTCTGGGATGGGAAAAGCCTTCCCACATCTCTCCAAAACACTGTAGATCAGGGAACTGCTTTCCTCGTGTACTGGGCTTGCATGACAGGTCATAAAAGTGTTGTGCGAGACATTTACACTTGGGTCTGAAATCATTTTGCTGTCCATTTCATCTGCACACATATGGTATGGTCATATAGCAGAAGTCCCTCATTTAAATGGTGACACAGTGAGAAGCATCTTTAGCACAGGTTGCCCTCCCAGGAGACATTTAACAATTTTTTACGGTCAGGAAAACATGCTTGCGACTGTCTGGTGGGCCCTCCTTCCTTTCACCCTGGGTCAACATCCATTTTTGAGAGGGGAGGATGTATCTTACCTGTGTTTCTTTTCACTTCCTGAAGTCAAATGGCTGTTAACAAACCCAAAGGAGGTTCCATTAAACATGAATGACACCCCCACAGCTCCTTTATTACCTGGAAAAAGATAAGCCAAAAATGTCAAGAAATCAATCAACCTCCAGGCTGAGTCTAGCAAAGATAATAAGGCACCTGGCACATCCTAAGTGGAGGATGGAGAAGAGAAATAAGTTGACTTAATCAGCACAGAAAGAATCAGTATATACAACACAGATTGTGGTTACAAATTTTCTAAGGATGCTAAAAAAATAAGTTGAAGGGAAAGAAGTGCAATTTCCTTGTGAAACCCAAGAAAGAGCAATCCAATAGCCAGTCAAAGGTGTTTGCTGGGAATATATAGATATGACCTAAGTATACACACAAATAGATTTCCTCTCTTACAGGGTAAGATATAATCAGTGCTAGTGGGATATTACTTTAGTATCACTAGTGTCACATAAAAGTAGTCAAAGGAATCTTGTGGAGAAAGAGCTGTTCCATTTCAAGAACAGTATTGGCACAGACTGAACAGATCTCAGTCCTTTGGACAAGACCAGGTCTGTTCCTCACCCAGTGTGTTTGCGATGCCTGTCTTCACGTTGTCTGTGCAGATGTGGCTGATGCGGTTCTCATGTTCTGGCTTGGCCAGCACAACAATCCTGATGTTCCAGAGCGTATGGATTGCTATCTGCAGAGATGGGAAGGTTAGAGGTTATATTTCTGCACATGCCTGTGAAGCTGTGCTGTAGCTGCAGCCTTCCTGTCTCTTTCTGTAGTACTTCTCCTACACAGATGTTTTTTCTGTACTCTGGATATGCTTTCAGTCATTTTAATCAAAGATGGGAGGAAGGACCTGCTATTTTCTAGTGCTATTTTCTAGTTAATCCTTGGATTGCCTTGCTTGCACAAAATACAGTTTCCCAATCACCATGAAAGTCATAAGTCCTGCTCTCCTGTGGCCTTCCAGGTATGCTTAGATTTGTTTCTTGACATCACTGAAACTCAGGAATGTCCAAACCCGATCTTAACAAGGTTCAGTTTCTTTTATGATTGTGCCTGTGTGCTGTTACATCCTGTTTTGAAAGTGCAATAGCCTAGGGTGAGATCTAGGCTACAGCTGGCTCAGAAATTTTTAGTCTCCTCCTTTGTGAAGGTCAAACTATCACCCCCACTTGACTCAGGTGCTCACATCTGCCCCTTGCTCCCAGGCTGGCAGGCAGAGGAGCTTCATGCCAGGGTCCCTGCTTTGTCAGTAGTGGGGGTCACTGTCCATAGTAATGTGCCCATCTAGCCAGCTCCAGGGGAGGATCTCGTGGAGTCCACAGACAGATTCAGTTCACTCTCCCTCATCCAGATGCAATGACAATAAAGGGAGGGAAGCGGAGGAGGTGTAGGCAAAATGCCACTTATTCCTCTGTCTCATTTATTTGCACAACATGTACTCTCCTCACACGCCTGAGTTACGTGGAATAGCTGGAACAACCCCTCACCACTTTGAAGCTGATACTGGTGATTTCCTGCAGGGATTGCCTCAGGGTCTCCAGCCATTCCTTCTCCCCTTGGGGATCCTCCTGGGTGCCAATCACATAGATGTCATGAGGAATGTAGTCAGCAGTGTCATCTCGGGTCTTCCCCTGCCCCTTGGAGAGAAACCAGGAGGTGATCTTCTTTGGGGGAGGTGCAGCACCTTTTATTAACAAATCAAACACCAAAGTAAGTCAGAGTATGTTCTGTCAAACGCAGGATACAGACAACCCATGGGGACAGAAATAATAGGCTTCACATTCACTCTGCCCTGTATCAGTTTTGTATCAGCAAGGGCACACTCTTCTAAGATGACAAATATGTTAACCCCACCTGACTCACTGATGAAGGAGTGACTCTGCTTTGACCATCTTCCTCTGTTTCATTAGCTTACCAAGGCCAAGGCTAGCTAAGTGTAAAGGTAAGGAGCTGTACTCCTGGCCTGCCACTGCCTTTACCTTATCCCTTTAAGTATGACTGAGCACAGATAGCTCAGCTTACAGCAGCTTTTCTTCCAAAATGGGAAAAATAACTTAAATTCCACTGTCCTCAACTATACCCTGTCCCCTTCTCTAAATATCACAGATGCTCAACTTTCTTCCCAGGCTGGACGTGAACAGTCCCTAGTCAGGTTCAGAAGCAGCTGACGCGCAGTTATTGGAATTGCTCCTGCCCTTTCTGCAAAGGTGGAGGATAGG